GCAGAATGATTGGTTCTTGGGAATTTGCATAGTCTCATTGAAATGAAAAAAATGAACATTTAAATAAGACATTGAATTTTTTCTTACAGGTTTATTGACAAGAAGGAAAGGTTAAGCCGACTTAAGAGCAAGCAAGAAGAATTTCAAAAAGAGTGAGTGTTTTGTTTTGCCTTTTAATTTGTGGAGGTGATCTAGTCACCATTTGGTTTAATTCATTGCTGTGGTATGCAGATATATGGATTGCTGACTTACTGAATCTAGGATACAACCTCTTTTTTTTTTTTTTGAGACGGAGTCTTGCTCTGTCACCCAGGCTGGAGTGCAGTGGCTGGATCTCGGCTCACTGCAAGCTCCGCCTCCCAGGTTCAAGCTATTCTCATGCCTCAGCCTCCCAAGTAGCTGGGATTACAGGTGCCCACCACCACACCCAGCTGATTTTTTGTATATTTAGTAGAGACGGGGTATCACCATGTTAGCCAGGCTGGTCTCAATCTCCTGATCTCATGATCTGCCTGCCTCAGCCTCCCAAAGTGCTGGGATTACAGGCGTGAGCCACTGCACCCGGCCTCAAATGTCATTTTCTTATCAAGGTACATTCAACCACCTCTTTAAAATTATAGCCCTGCCCCACACATACACACCCAAGCACACATTCCCCATCCTCTTTTCCTGCTTTATTTTCCCCATAGCAGTTAATTTCTAATATATATAATTTACGGATTTATTTCACTTTCTCCCACCATCCTGAATGTAAAATCCGTGAAAACGGATTTTGTGTTTTGTTTGCAGCCATATTCCAGCTCCTAAAACTAGGATATAGTTAGGCCAGGTGCAGTAGCTCATGCCTGTAATCCCAGCACTTTGGAAGGCCGAGGAGTATGGATCACCTGAGGTCAGAAGTTCGAGACTAGCTTGGCCAACATGGTGAAACTGTGTCCCTACTAAAAATATAAAAATTTGCTGGGCACGATGGTGCATGCCTTTAATGCCAGCTACTCGGGAGGTTGAGGCAGGAGGATTGCTTGAACCCAGGAGGTGGAGGCTACAGTGAGCCAAGATTGTGCCATTGCACTCCAGCCTGGTTGACAAGAGTGAAACTCTGTCTCAAAAGAAAAAAAAAAAATGCTAGGACATAGTAAGCATTCAATAAAGTTTTGTTGGGCTGGACGTGATGGCTCACACCTATAATCCTGGCACTTTGGGAGGCCGAAGCGAGTAGATTGCTTGAGCCCAGGAGGTTGAGGCTTCAGTGAGCTTGATCATGGCACTGCACTCCAGCCTGGGAGTTAGAATAAGACCCTGTCTCAAATAAATAAATAGATAAATAAATAAATGTTGAATGAATACATTCTTTATGCACGGTTCTGATTAGGTCTATGGGGCAAATTTCTAGAAATGAAATGACCACATTACAGGATATAGAAATTTTAAAAGGTTCTTGATACACATCACCAAAACCCTGTCTTTCCCAAGGTTAAATCAGTGTGTACTCACATCAGGAACTGTGAGACAACATGTCCACTGTGCCCTCACATTGTTATCAACTTTAAAACAACTTTAGCCAGCTTAGTATGTAAAAATTACAGTTCTTTTAAATTTATATTGCTTTTTCATGCATTTCTCCCCTTGATAATGATGAGTTTGGGTCCTTTACTTATTTATAAAATTTTGTTTTAGTGTTTTCTAATTTAGTATTGATGGTTTTCTAATTGATTCATAAGACTTCTTTAGGTTATAAAGTTACTAAGTCTTTGTTACCTGTGTTGTAGTTATTTTTCCTGGTTTGTCATTTAAAAAAAAAATTTGCTTATGGTGCTTTTGGTTATATAGTTTTTGTTAGTGTAGTCAGTTTTATCTTCATAGTTCTTTTGCTTTATAGTTCTTTTGCCGCATAGTTCTTTTGCCTTTTTGGAAAGGTCTTATCTACCTCTAAGATCAATTATTCATCTGTAATTTCTTTTAGTTCTCTTATGTTTTTTAATGTTATTCTTTAATCTCTGGTGTTTTATCATATTGTGTGAGGCAAGGATCTGATGTTAGTTTTTCCTCCCTAAATAATAAACCATTCATTGCACATGCCTTCCTTACCTCACTTATAAGAATATGTTGTTAGTGTATACTAAATCTTTTCACTAAAGTCTGTTCCAAGTGTTTCAATTCAGATTCATTTATATTTTTCTTTTGCCAGAATCCAATTCTTAATTATTGTTTTTAAATATATTTTAATATCCTCTTTTAATTTTTATTTCATTTTTTCGTTTGTTGGTTTGTCTAAGTAAATTTTAGAATCATTCAGTAAAGTTCAAGAATAAATGGAGAGTTAACTTCCTAAAGTGAAAACCACATCATGCCATTCTCCCATGGAAGATCTCTTAATGACTTCAGAACATAAAGGCCACACTCAGTGTTAACAGCCTCCAAGACCTTCCTAGACCTGCCCCAGCCAAACTCTCTAGTGTTACGTATTGCCACTCCCTGCCTGAAATTTACACTTCAGATCTGTACCCACATCACATGCTATTTCTCACCTCCCTATCTTTGCTCATCCTGTTCCATCTGCCTTTAATGACCTTGACTAATGACCTTGACTAATTCCTGTTTACCCTAAAATCCATTTCCTGGCCTCATTCCACACTGGCCAGGCTCTGCGGCCACTCCTGCATGTCCATTGTCATCCTGTGCATGTCTCTTACACCACATAACCCATTGCATCACAATGATGAGTTAATCTTCCACCTGAACTGGGTGGGAGCATCTCATGTTCATTTTGTATTTCTAAGACCTACCATGCTACCTGTCATACAGTAAGTCATATGGATGGAGTAGAGGAGAATATTCCAGACTGGAAATTGGGAGACAGATTGTTACCATAATCAAAGTGAAAGATAACTAGAGTATTGACTAGGGCAGCAGTGGGAGAAATGGGACATATATGGAAAATAAGAGAGAAGACTGACCGGGCTTTGTGTCTGGATGAATGTGAGGGTAAGAGAGATGGAAGATGCTTTGAATCTGAGATTTCCAACGGAGACTCCAGGTAGATGTTGTACCTTAACCATATTGAGGCATTTGGGAAGTAGGGGGCAATTTAAGGAGAATAAGATTAGGACAACTTTAGATGTGCTGTGAGTTGGAGATGCCTTTATGATACCCAGTGGAGATGTCTGATAGCCAATGGGACATGAATAGGTTAATTATATGCTTTTATCATTCAAACCAGGACCTTTTTGAAATTGACACAGAATGCTATTAATAATTATGCCAGGATAACAAGCATAAACCAGGAATGACCCTTATAAACTGGGTTGCATGGTCTTCCTGTATAAAAAGGTCACATCTGGAGCTCAGAGAGAAAGGTCTGGAATGTAGTTAATGATTTGTGAGTCATTAGCATATAGGAGCTCTGAGAATGGGTGAGATTGCCTAGGGAGAGTTTCTAGGATAAGAGGAGAAAAGAGGCAAGACAAAACCATAGGGAATACTAATATTTGCATAGTTAACTATGTAACTGGGATTATTAACTGGGAAATTGTTTTTCAAAACACTTATATTCCTAAATTTTTCTGAGGATTCTAATATCCTAATCAGCCATTCCCATGTCTGCTCCCAACCCGACCATGAACCATGGCCATCTCCATCCTGCCCCTCACCACAGTACTTTACCCCTCTCTCGCCCTCTCTGCAGCCAGAAGTTTTTGTTGTTGTTGTTGTTGTTGTTTAAGTTTAAAACTACAGGTTTATAGGGAGGGCAGAGGTAGAGGAACCAACAGAGGAAACTACAAGTGGCCAAGGAGACAAGAACCAGGAGACTACAGTTCAACTTGAAGGACACCTTTTGAGGTGGTCAGTAATGTCAGATGCTACAGAAAGGCTAAGTAGTATGAGGAACTGAGAAGTGTCCATTGGCCATGCCATTTAGGGGTCACTGTTGCCTGTTTGTGGGATGGGCAGTAGAGTTGTTCTGCAGTAGGCAGAGGAAGCAGGAGGAAAAATAAAGTTGTGGATAGACAGAAGTAGCTACCAGCAGCATTCCTGCAGCATTGAACATGGGGAGAATTGATTCCTGTTTTAAAAGTGAAGATAGAATGCATTGAATCTGTAATTTATTGATTGCAACAAGGAGCCAGTAGCAAGGGCAAGGCTGAATGTACAAGAGAGGGAAGAAATACCAATCTTCAGTCATATTGAAGCTTTTTTGCTCAGTCTTATTCCCTTGTCAGGAGCACCTGTGCTGTGTTGTAGTTGAATGCCACCAGTCTGTTCTAATAGGTGTCACGTTGACTTTAAACACTACCATCCAAATGTCTTTCTGTTTGGTTGGCTTGGGATCTACATAGTTCTTCCTCTTTTTCTAAAGACTGAAGATGGGAACATTTGAAGAGAATATAAATTTGTCTTCTAGTTGTATTGATTTGCTGATCACTGGTAAAGTGCTGATAACCCATCAATCTAGGTTTATGGGTTAATGTGATGCATCCTTGTTGGTAGATTTAGAAACCTATACTGCACGCGAACCTACTCTTTTCGTACATATATGTGTGTCTGTCTATGGTGTCATGTGTATTAGATGGAAAAGTGAGTTTTTACACCAAAATGTGTTTTAATCTTGAGAAGTTCCATTAAGAAAAAAGATGTTGAAATACAAACTGTTCTGTTTTCTGATCTGCTATCTCATAGTAAGCAGTTAGTTGTAAGATTGACTTCCTCAGAGGAAAGAAGGCAAGGACACCAGCAAAAGGAAAAGAAATGTTTAATTGCTCTGCAAAGGCCCCAACATGCTCTGAAAAGTAAAGATTTCAGGCTTAATGTGCATGGAACAAAAGGCCGTTGTGAGCTGTGTACAAGAGTTGGTGAGAGTTTGTATTCTGCCCCTTTTTTCTGTGGGAGTTATTTCCTGTTGTTGACTAGAGTTCTTTATTTAGAACCACCTAGCTTCAGAATGCCTGCTAGCTTGCAGAAAAGTGTGTACTTAAAACATAGGCTTATTTCAAGACAATCTCTTTGAAAAAAAGTCACACTACACATGCACTGAAACTCATGTTCCCAAAGGTCAAAATCCCCAATAAGAAGAGACGTAAGAAGGAGCTGCAATGCGTTTCGTGTAGCACTTGGTGGTCACCTGAACACCTAGTGAAAGATTCTTTATGGGGAAACTGTGTTTCTATTTTCTGCTTTAAAAAAAAAAAAAAAAACAAGATTTCACTTTTTAGTGCTGAGTTCTTTGTTATTTTAAGGAAGTAACAAGAAGCCTTCCATATTTTGTGAGGAAGATTTATCCTTGTTAGCATGATAGAAGTTCGCCTGGCAGGTAAGAAATACACCCAAAACAGGCATTGAACCAGTTATTCTCTTATACTTGCGCGATGAGCTGGGCTTCCTATTGAAGAACTTTAGGTTGATTTAGCATTATCTTTGGATTTTACAGTCTAATATTAAGAGAGAGCGAGAAGGATAATATATCAGAACGAATGAGAAGAATAAATTGTTTATTACTGAAATAATGGGAAATAAATGAATGCTTGCAATACAAATATTGTCCAGTATTAACAGGTGCTAGAAGTTGTAGGGAAAAAAATCTTACACAGTTCTACTTCATGGGAAACATAAGGAAGAAAGAAGAGAAAATGTATTTCTTTAACTTATATTCTGAAACAATGAAATAATTAGAATACATTTATTTGCTTTTGATACTTTGACACTTTTTAAAAAGACATCACCTGTGTGTCTCTCCCTGATTCTATTACCCTCCTCCTATTACCAGAGGTAACTACTTTCTTGAATTTTTAAATCTATTTTCTATAATTGCATACGTATGTATCTATATATATACAGTGTTTTGCATGTTTAAAAATATTTTATATAAATGGTGTATATATTTTATAACTTGCTTTATTTTAGTCAGTATTTGTTTTTGAGATATAACTTTATATTTTGAGATCAACACACGATACATGGTACCTTTAGTTCTTTTTTTTTATTATTTTAATTTTTTTTGGCTGTAAGTTTATTCAATGCAAAATAATCCTCTCCGATTTTACTGAGGTGGCTGACTACGTCCACAACCAAACCCGCCTCTAAACTGGAATTCGGTTGCTGACCCAGCCCCAGCCTTGGCTTTCTTGTTGGCATCAGGGGGCACAGCACTCCATCTGTAGGTATCTCTGTAGGCTTCCCCTCTCATGAGTCTTGCAGGTTGCTCACCCGCTAGACCTTTAGGCCGAGGCCTGCCAGCCTCTGGATGGCTGTGGCGTAGGGTGGCAGGCACAATCTCTGGGAGCAGATGAAGGTACCAGTAGAAATGTCTCCAGGCAAACTGTTCCTTCATGCAGCCTCAGGACTTGAGAGACTGCATGGCCTTCATGACATGAAGGTTGGGCACATTCTTGTCTGCCAGCTCTGGGTGTTTAGGCATGTGGACATCCTTCTTAGCCACCGTGACTCCCTTCTTAAAAAGGAGTTCATAAATGGCAACCCGGTTCTTCTTAGGCATCAACATCTCCGTGGCTGTAGGGTCTGGAGCCAGGGCTGGAAAGATCTTTAGTTCTTTTTAACCACTGTAGTTTTCAAGGGTATCGTCTTGATGATCTTTCAGATTACTTACAATATTTTGCTATTATAAGCAATACTGCCACGAAGATTCTTCTTCTATGTCTCCATGGGGATAAAAACAAGAGTTTCTCTAGATTCTAGACTTAGCCCTTCTCATCCAGAATTCCTCGAGAGAATTAAGCCCCAATCTCTTAAGGTATATTTGAAGGGTAATGAATTAACGTCTGTCCTGTAAGTCTGGAATAGTTCAAATGTTGAGCTGGAGCTGGAGATTGATAGCCACTCCTGGAAATGAATGTGCTAATCTCTTCCTAATTCTTGAGTTCAGTTGGGAGGCTTGAAATCAGCCATGCTGATATCACAGAAATCAGCAAATGCTACGAATAAAACTTCCTTCCCTATCCCCCTAGCCAATTGTTAAACATTTGCTAGCACACCACAGATTTTAACTTTATACCATCCTTGGGAGAACTTAGGAAACAGTCACTTGAATCTTTTTCTGTAGAGCTTATTTTTCTGTATGAGAAAGACTGTATGTGGCAGGGTGTGTGCATCTCCAACTTTACTAGACAGTGCCAAATTAGGCTGGGCATGGTGGCTCAGGCTTATAATCCCAGCACTTTGGGAGGCTGAGGCAGGAGGATTACTTGAGACCTTGGAGTTCGAGACCAGCCTGGCCAACATAGTGAGACCCCATCTCTATAAAAACACATAAAAGTTAGCTGGGCATGATGATGTGTACCTGTGGTCCCAGCTATTTGGGAGTCTCAGTGGGAGGATCACTTGAGCCCGGGAGGTCAAGGCTTCAGTGAGCCATGTTGGCACCATTGTATTCCAGCCTGGGCAACAGAGCAAGACTGTTGCAGAAACAGCAAACAAACAAAGAAAATGCCTAATTATCTCCAAAGTGGTCATACCAAATTATATACCCACAAGTTTTATGAGAGTTCCTTTTTATCTGCCTTCTATCATCAGTATTTGATATTGGTATACATATAAAACTTTTATTTTTGTCAATTTGATAGCTATGAAATATCTCTTTATAATTTGCATTTTTCCTTTTTTGTAGAAATGAGGGTCTAGCTGTGTTGCCATGAGGGTCTAGCTGTGTTGCCCAGACTGGTCTCGAACTCCTGGCCTCAAGTATCCTACCATCTCAGTCTCCCAAGTGCTGGGATTAGCGGCATGTCCACTGACACAACCTGTTTTGCACTTTTTTTTTTTTTTTTACTGATGAAGTTGAGTGTCTATTCCTGTGTTCACTGGACATTTTAGTTTCCTCACCCATTTTTCTATTGGGTTTATATGTCTTTTAAAAGATTGATTCAGAGGAGTTCTTCGTTAATTCAGAATACTCATCTTTTGTTGATTCTATTTCTGTGAATCACGTATATCATTTGACAATCTTTAGCTTGTCTTTAACTTGTTTGTAGTGTATTTTGTGTAAGAGATGTTTAACTTTAGTGTAATCAAAGCTATTGATCTTTTTCTTTATGGTTTGTTCATTGGGGATTTTGTTTCTTAAGTAGTCAGAGTCCCTGCAGGAAACAGAATTCCACTGAAATGTTTCAACTAAAGAGATACTAGTGAAGGGACATTTTACAGAGATGTGACAAAAGTTGAGGCACAGAAGACAAATAACTGTAGGAAGCTGTCACTATCCTTAAGCCTAAAAGGGAAAGGGGAGGAAATGGTGTTGCTAGAACCCAGAGGGAGTTGTCATCCTGGAGAAGGGGCCACCTGGCAGAAGCTGTAGTTGTGGAGGGATGGGTACTCGCAGGTGAGGGCCCAAAGCAGGAAGGAGCAGGGAAGAAGTACCCCAGCTTCTCCACCTTCTGACCCATTGAACTCCTTCTGGTACCTTGTTTGTCTGAATCCACTTGGAAGCTAGTGAGCAAAGGAACTTGGGTGAGGTGGTCCCTAGATGTCAGCATTTCAAGGCATGGAGCCAAGCAGAGGCAAGTGGAGAATGAATCTCAGATGAACTATAATCAGCACACTTTCCTTGTCCTAAAGCCATAAACGTATTTTCATATATTCTCTCCCGAAAGTTTAAAATTTTGTTTTACATATTTAGATTTCAGTCTACCTGAAATATGTTTTTTTGTAAATATTAGGCACCTAATTTATTTTTCATACAGGTAATCAGGTGGCCCTGAGCTATTTATTTGTAATTTTTTTGAGACAGTCTCGCTCTGTTACCCAGGCTGGAGTGCAGTAGTACCAACATAGCTCACTGCAGCCTTGACCTCCTGGACTCAAGCAATCCTCCCATCTCAGCCTCCTGAGAAGCTGGGACCACTATGCTCAGCTAAATGTTGGGGTTTTTTTTCTATTTTCTTTTTTTTTTTTTGAGATGGAGTCTCGCTCTGTTGCCCAGTCTGGAGTGTGGTGGTGCAATCTCAGCTTACTGCAGCCTCCGCCTCCCAGGTTCAAGTGATTCTCCTGCCTCAGCCTCCCGAGTAGCTGGGATTACAGGAGCCCACCACCACGCCTGGCTAATTTTTTTTGTATGTTTAGTAGAGATCGGGTTTCACTGTGTTGGCCAGGCTGGTCTTGAACCCCTGACCCCATAATCTGCCCACCTTGGCCTCCCAGAGTGCTGGGATTACAGGCGTGAACCACCGCGCCTGGCCTGCTCAGCTAATTTTTAAAATTTTTGTAGAGACAGGGTCTCTTCGTGTTGCCCAGGCAGGGTTCAAGCAATCCTTCTGCCTCAGTCTCCTGAAGTGCTGGGATTATAGGCATGAGCCATCGTGCCTATCCCTGAGCTACTTACTGAATTCTTTCCTTACTGATCTGTAATTTCACTTCAGTCATATATTACACTTCCACATATATGTGGTTTTGAACTCTCAATTCTGTTCCATTGATCTATTTATCTGTACCTATGTCAACTCTACCCTGTTCTAATTAGTAGAGCTTTATAATAAGCTCTGATAGGACATGTCCCCTATCTTGTTCCTTAAGCTTATTACAACTGTGTTTGGCCCTTTCCTATTTCAGATGAATTTTAGGATTCATTTGCCAAGTTCCATTGAAGGAAAATATGAGATTTAAACTTCATTTAATTTGTTGATAAGTTTGGGGGAGAATCTGCACGTGTATAGTATTAAGTATTCTTGTCCCTTAAATGGTATGGCTCCCCATTAATTTTGATCTTTTCATCTGATGAACTTTTGGAAAGGTATTTGTTTTCTCACTTTTCATTTTTGGCTGTAATGAGAAAATAGTAATTCTGGAATCTTTATTCTCATCGCTGTTAATTGTTATTAAAACTAAAAAGCATGATGTCTCAGAGTTTTAAAGGGGCAACAAATCAGAATGGATTGAAAATGAGTATCTGATTAAAATTTTTTCTACCTTTTTGTAATTTGGGCTTTAATTTCTTAAAGGAAGCAAAACAAATATGATGTTGAAATTATCAATATTAGTCCCACAAAAATGATTTTTCTGTAGCCCAGTACTGGATTGTGCTGCACTCTGTGTAAAGAGGCCAAATGAATAGCTCTGCACTCATAGTGAGGGAATCTGGCACTTTTTAAGTGAGATTTTTGACTTGTTGTGACTCTTTCAGATGTATGTTTTCTTTTAAATGAATCATCTTTAAATATATGCATTGTCTGAGCAAGTTCAGGATTGTAAAGTGTACATTTAATTGTAACAGAACAGAACAGCAGTGGGCGTCTGTGCTACAGATGATATTCTTAGGGTATTTGCTGCCATCCACTCTCCTTTCTAAATTTGGTGTTACAGATT